ACTGCGGCCTGCACTGCGGCTGCCTGGCCGCGCGCGCGGCCCCACAGCCAGCAGGCACAGCGTGCATGCCCTTCGCTGCCACACGCCTCGCCTCCACGCCTCACGTGTGCTGCCCCGCGCCGCGCCGCCGCCGCGCCGCAGCCCCCGAGAACCAGAAGAGCATGCTGCGCACGCGGCAGGAGGGCAAGGTGCCCTACTCGGATGGCTTCCACACCATGGCTGTGGACTGGAGCGCCGGCAGGATCACGCGTGAGGCGGCGCCTGGCCCCTGCCCCGCCCCCCATGGGCTGCTTGCTTCTGGGGAGGGGAGAAGGGGAGCCGTGCGCGGGTTGAGGGCCGCGCTCGGCCCACCCGCCGCCCACCCCTGGGCCCCTGCCCCGCAGTGTCGGTTGACGGCGTCGAGTCTGGCACCTTCCTGCCGCGAGAGAAGGACCCGGCGGGGTGGTGGACCAGCGACCAGAGCGCGCCGCCAGATGCGCCCTTCAACCAGCCGTTCTACCTCATCCTGTGAGGCCCTGGGCGCTGCCTCCAGCTCAGCCTGCCTAGCCCGCCCGCAATGACGCATGACGCAAGCCTCCTGCCCACCACCTCTGCGACCCTTCACTGCGCTTGCTGCCACCGGCCCCTCCTGGGTCCCAGCCAGCTTGCTCCAGCCTCTCCCTGACAGCGCCTCTGCCGGCACCGCCCGCCTCCCGTCCCGCAGGAACCTGGCGGTTGGAGGGCTGTGGCCAGACCCGCCTGACAGCACCACACCCTTCCCCGCCACCTTTGCTGTCGACTATGTGCGCGTGTGGGGCGAGCCAGTGTGACGCCGCCTGCCCTGACGTGCGCATAAGCCTCTGCACCCTCCCCTGTAACCAAGCAACCGCCCCCGCTGGCCACCTTTGCGGTTCTGCCGCTGCGCACGCCGCGCCAGCTCGCCGCCGACCGGCCGGCGCCTGGCCTTCTGGCCTTCCCAACCTGGACATCAAGATCCATGGTGCAACAAGGTTGGTAGATCAGAGGGCAAGACTGACAGAGAGGTCTGCCTGAGTGTGCCAACTGACTCTGAATGGCTCGCCCCCGCGGCGGCGGCAAGAAGGGCTGGGGTGCCGGCAGCGAGGGCCGCAGTCGCAGCGTCGCCACCAAGACAGCCCAGCAGGGCAGCAGCCGCAGGAGGGCGCAGCGCCCGGCTGCCGGGAAGCCCTCCCCCTCTCCCTCCCAGCTGCCAGAGGCCACGCCTGGTGCATCGGCTGCTGCTGACGCAGCTGCGGCTGGCCGCTGCAGCGCAGAAGAGGCAGAAGAAGAGGCCCCGGCGCCGGTCGCAGCCGCCAAGCAGCGGGGCCGGCAGCGCCAGAGCGAGGCGCAGCAGCGGGCGGAGGCGCAGCAGGCGCATGAGTCGATCAGGGGCCTGGCAGACGCTGCCGAGGCGGAGGAGGCGGCAGCGAGGGAGGAGGCAGCGGCAGCGGCAGACGGGGACGCGAGTGCCGCGGCCGAGGAGGAGGAGGAGGAGGGGGCGGGCTGCGAGGACTGCGAGCAGCCTGCAGGCGCGCTGATCGCCTCGGCGCCGGGGTTCAAGCTGGCGCGCGGCCAGCGGCCGCCCTGCTTCCGGATCTGGCTCAGCCTGCAGCCGCCCACGTGCGCCACCGAGATCTCAGGCAAGCGGGCCGCTGGCGGGCAGCCAGCCTGGGCTCCTGCACCGCTGTCGCAGGCTCCCCAGTTGCTGGCACAAGATGGGGAGTCCTGGAGGAATCCTGGGGGAAGGCTCGATGCTAGTTCCTGCGTACCCAGCCGTTGACCCGCCGCACCTCGCCTCCCTTCGCCGCGCAGTCAGCTGCTCCCGCCGCTGCATCGCCGTCACGCAGCGGCGCCCGGGCGCCGCCACGGCCAGCCCTGACGGCATCTGCCTGCCGCCGCCGCCGCCGCTGCGCGCGCACCACGTCGTGCTGCCTGAAGCTCTGGACCTGGGGGAGCCGGCGCAGTGCATCGTGACGCCCCAGGGGCAGCTGTACATCGAGGCGGCGATAGCGGAGGAGTAGGCAGGCTGGCGGCTGGGGAGGGAGGGCGGAGGAAGTGGAGGAGGCACCATGCCTCGCCTGCACATGGCGTGCTTGCTCAGCGGCGCTCGGCCTCCTGGCTCCCCTGCGGGCATGCTCTGCCCGCCCCGCCCCGAGGCCAAACTCACTTTGATGATCATGCTGTGTGTTAAATGCGGCAGTGTCGGCTCAGGCAGCAGGGAAGCCACTTTACAATACCGCAGCTCAGCTCACTTCCCAGTGCACCACATCCTGCAGCCTCTCGCTGCTTCAGTCTGCCATGTGGGTGTCGCCGCCGGCGCCGCCGTGGCCGGCAGTGCCAGCAGCGGCGGCCAGTGCGGCCGGCGTTGCTGCAGCAGCGGCATCGCCGGCCTTGGGGCCAGCTCCGCCCGTGCTGCCGTCGCCGGCGGCGCCAGGCCCGGGGGCCGCCTGGTCGGCGGGGCGGACATACCTGAAGGAGCCGTGGCCCCTGCCGCCGCCACGCCCGCCGCGGCCGCTGTTGCCGCCGCCGCGGTGGTGGCTGCGGCCGCGGCCCATGCGGGGAGAGATGGGGGCTGCGGCAGGGACAGGCGGGCGTGGGCGGGAGTGAGGGGCAGCAGTTGTGGGGGCAACCCTACTGCTATTCACAGTATGTAGTGTAGGGATCTCACAGAGGATCAGGCTCCAAGCGGAGAGCCCACAGGCAGCCAGCCAGCTGCACATGCATCAAGCGCGCCAGCCAGGCACGCTGCCCAGCGGCGCACAGGCGCGGCCCGCCATCACCCACCCGCAAACATGGGGATGGGTAGCAGGCCCGGCGGCGGCTGGGCGGCGCGCAGCACGCGGGAGGCGGCCACCCTCGCCGCCGGCGAGTCGCTGGGAACCACCCGCACGGTGCGCTGCAGCAGCGCGGAGCCTGCGGCGGCGGCACGGGGGGAGGGCACACGGCGGCAGGCAAAGGCAGGGGTGAGCCGCGGAGCGGGGGCTGCTGCAAGGACGCTCAGCTTGAACGCAGGTGCTCGGCTTGAACGCAGGTGCCACTGCTGCAGCAGGAGGCTGCAGCTGGAGGCTGCAGCAGCGGCGGCGGCTGCGGCGACGGCTGCGGCGGCGGCCCACCGTCCAGCGCCAGCGCCGCCTGCGCCTCTGCCGCCGTTGAGAACTGCATGTAGGCCACGCCGGAGCGGCGCCCGCTGGCGGGGTCCCTGCGGGCGCAGTGCCAGCAGCAGGTGTGGTGTGTCGGTACAGGGGCCAGCAGGCGCACGTGCCGGCACGGCTGCGCTCCCCACGCTGCGCTCACGCCTGCGCTCCCCACGCTTCCGGCAGCGCGGGCAGCAATCAGGCTCGCACCTGAGGTGCGTGATGCGCTGGATGTAGCCGCAGGCGCCAAAGTGGGCGATCAGCACCCGGTCCGAGGCCGCAGGGTGCACGCCCTTGATGCACACCGAGCGAATGGTGAGGCTGCATGCCGGGGCGGCGGCAGCGGGGGGGCAGGCCAGGTGCGTCAGGGGCCCCGTGAGAGCCAGCCGGACCCCACACCAGCATCCCAAGGAGCAGCCAGCCACACCCAATGCCGATGCCGCAGCCCCTCCATGCACAAGCTGCCGCGCCACTCACGCCAGCCGCGCGGCGGCGCTCAGGTGCTGCTGCGTCTGCGCCTGCTCCAGCTGCCGCTCCGCCTGCTGCGTGCGCAGTGCGACCAGCTCCACCTCCATCTGCCGCACCCGCTGGCGCAGCACCGCCTGCAGGTCTGGCTGGCGCAGCAGCGGGGCCGTCAGGTGGCGCTGGGGCGCCGCGCCCGGCCCCTGCTGGTGGCTGATGGTGACCTGGAAGGTGGTGCCGTGGGAACCGGTGCCGGCGCCAGCCCCGGCGCCGCCCCGCTGCTGCCCCGCCAGCGGTACCGCAAGCACGCTGCGCCCGTCCAGGCCCATGCTGGCGGCCGCCGCCTGCGCCAGGGCGCGCGCAAAGGCGCCCGCCACGGGGCCGCCGGCGGCGGCGGCAGCGGCGGGCAGCGCCAGCACCTGGCCTGCCAGCTGCTGCTGCTGCTGCGCCTGCTGCTGCTGTGCCTGCGCCTGCCGCTGCCTCTCCACCTCCAGATCCATGTAGGAAGGCCGCTCCCAGGGCAGCACGCTCCGGGCCGCCCCCTGCTGCCCCTGCTGCCCCACCGGCAGCAGCTCCTGCCCCATCCCCGCATCGTACTGCTGCTGCCCGGCGGAGCCGGGGTGCGGCACGCCGGGCGCCAGCCCCGGCGGCGCCCCGCCCAGCACGCCCGCCGCCGTGGAGGCTGACGCCACCTCCACGCTGGAGCGCAGGCGGGGCTGCTGCTGCGTGCCCTGCACCCCCTCCCCATCCTCCCAGCGGAGATCGTGCTGGAAGTGGTGGTGGGCCCTGAAGCCGCCACCGCCGCCGCCGCCGCCGCCGCCGCGGTGCGCCGGCGCCGCCTCCCACGGCTGCAGGCGCCCAAACACGCCGCCGCCGTCCCCACCGCCGCCGCCCTGCGCCTGCTGCGGCTCCTCCTGGCGGTATGCGCCGCGCGGCGGCGCCGCGCCCCGCGGCGACCGCGCCTGCTGCCAGTCGCCGTGCCCGTGCCCGCGCGCGCCGCCGGGCGAGGTCGAGCGGCGGCGGCGCGGCGGCGAGCGGTCGCCCCGCCAGGCGCCGCCGCCTGTGCGGTACGGATACGGGTCATGGCCGCTGTACCTCGCCCTGCTGGCCCCATCCCAGAAGTAATCGCCCGCGCGCGGCGGCGAGCGGCGGCGCGCCGCCGGCGAGTGCCGCCTGCCGCCGCCGCGCGGCGAGTGGCTGCCCCGGCGGTGGTGGGGCGGCGAGTAGCGCCGCGGCGAGCGGCTGCGGTCGCTCTGCGGGCAGGGGGAGGAAGAGGAGGGGCGGGGCGTGGACGGCAGGGCATGGGCAAACTGGCATGAGCGCTGGCTGCTGACGTGCAGTGTGGTGGGGCGGGGTTGGCGGCCTGGCAGGCAAGCGAGCAGCCACAAAAACCAGCCAGCCAGCAGGGCAGCAGCGCAGGGAGGCGTGCGTGCGGGGCGGGGCACCCACCCTGCCGCTCCGCTCGTCCCGCGCCCTGTACTCGTCCCGAACCACGGCAGACTGCAGGCGGCGCATGGCGCCGCCGCCGCCGTGCCCCTCCTCCATCGCCACCTCAGCAGTGTCCGCATCGCTGCCATCCACCTCCCCCTCGCTCCCCTCATCCTGCTCCATCTCCAGCTCAAGCGCGTCCTCGGCCTCCGCCGCCTCAGCCGCCTGCACCTCGCCCTCGGCAGCGGCAGGCGCGGCGGCCGACGCCCGCTGCCGCTGCGCCCGCTCCGGGTGCCGCTCCCGCGGCTGCTGCTGCTCCTGCTGCGGCGCGGGGGGCGGCTTCACGAGGTCGTTCAGGTTCTCAAACAGCCTGCGGTGGGTGGGGTGGGGGGTGGCAGGAGATGGGGGAAGGAGGAGGACGATCAGCGAGGGGAGGCATGCATGCGGCTGTCCAGCTGGCACAAGGTGGTGCACCATGCCGATGCTGCGCCTTCCGGAAAGCGAGTCCTGCACACACACTCTCTGCCCCTTTCCATAGGCAACAGCGCTGCCGCGATCGGCGAAGCGCGACCAGGGCCAGGCCAGGCCAGCCCGTGGTGCAGTGCACCCTCCTCATGAGAGGGCGCAGCACCCACCAGCCCGGCAGCCAGCAGCGGCGCGGCGGCGCGGCGGCACCCGTGAGGGCGCAGCACCCAGCAGCCCAGCAGCGGCGCAGCACCCACCAGCCCAGCAGCACCCACCAGGAGGCCACCTCCTTGGAGTCCACCTCCCCCAGGAACTCCACCAGGTTCTCGGCCACAGCCTCCTGCCCCGTCTTGTGCGCCAGCATGATCACCACATACTGCGGGGAGGGAGGAGGGAGGGCAGGAGGTGGCGAGGGCGGCGGGGTGGCGGGGCGGCGGTGCCAGGACTCGCCGCGCGCATTCCCGCTGCTCTGCACCTGCGCCAGGGAGCGGTCCTCGTAGTCTGCGCCCAGGTAATGGCGCAGCTTGCCCTGCACAGCTGTGGTGACCGCCAGGCCGGCGGCCGACTTGGGGTCCAGCGAGGGGATGCGGCTCTTGGAGGTCGTCATTGCGCTGCCAGGCTATTATTGAAACCAGGCACAGGTCAGCCTGGGAGTCACCGCATGTAGCGATCGCAGGCTATTTGGGGCTCGCTCGGCTGCTTCCGTGCTGCAAACAACTGCCGGCAGTGCAGCGAGCAGCCCTGATGCCGGCTGGGATGTGCTCATGCTGACCGGGCGGTAGCCGGCGGCGGCAGCAGGACACGACGGCCCTCGCCGCACATCGACTGATTTGCAGAGGCAACATTAATGCGTCGGATCAGACAGATTGGCAATTTGCAGCATGCATAGATATGATTTGAAGGTGCAACACGCCGCACTGACTGCAGCGCGGGGAGCGGATGCCCAGGCAGCAGCACCCGTGACGCCGTGGCCGTGGCAAACTCGGCTCGCAGGAGTTCGGTCCAAGGCTGGTGTCCTGCTGTGCCATCTGCTCACATGCTGCTTCCGCTGTCGAAAGTCGGGAGTGTGAGTGACGTGGCTGAAGGCTCGTAGAACTGGCGCTGCAAGTGACGGCAAGCGTCAGCATGTCAGGCATGTCGAACAAAGTTGAACTGTGCGGCACCAGCGGACTTGCATTCCTGCCAATGTGGAGGGCCATCCTGAGTGTTACCTGCAGCCACTGAAGATAAATGCTGCATCACGCACATGGTGCCAGCGGGGCTGCCTCTGGTGGGAATTGCGCACACCCACTTGCCCTCGCATCCAGAACGATCACAGCACCCAGCATCCATCGCCGTCACCAAGTATGAGCGAGGGCAGCTCCTCTTCCAGAGCCGCTCCCCTCCTACCGGTGCAGTCCACGCCTTGGGGACTGGAGTACTCGATACACGGTGGGAGGGCAAGCTTAGATTGCATCTGCAACAATGCGCTAAGGCCGCCGCCTCCTGCTTGCTGCCGCCGCTGCCGCTGGCTTCCCCGCCCTTGCTACCCTCACGCCTCCCCACCTCACGCTGCCATCCCCGATCTTCTCTCTCTGCCTGCCTTCCGCAGAGTGTCCGCGCCGGCATCGTGACGACGTGGCGGCGCTCTTCCCAGGCACCTCGCTGGACGGCATGCTTGTGATCCCCACATGCCAGCACGCCCAGGTGCGGCTCCGGCTGGCTGTGGTTGGGGGGGGGCTGGGCGGCAGCAGACGTCACCGCCGCATCCAGTGCCGCCCCTGCAAGGTGCCCAGCCATGCTTTGGCGGTTGCGGATCCCCCCAGGCTGCATCCAGCGTCACCATCCAGCCGCAGCAGCATCAAGGTTTCTGGGCATGTGCTTGGGCTGCTGCAGATGGACCTGGTGCAGATGGGGCAGCGGGTGGAGGATGAGAAGGACCGGCTGCTGGAGCGAGTGAGTGACATGGAGGAGGAGGGAGGAGGGTGGTGGCGATCAGCTGCCGTCACAATGCGCCCAAGCTGCGGCGGCGGCATCCAGCGGCGCCACCACTCCGCATCTGCCCTGCCTTGCCCTCCTGCAAGCGCCGCCAGCACCGGCAGTCCCCCGCACTGCAATGCCTTCCTGCATAGTGTCAGGCTGCCCCTGCGCCTCCCCTTGGCACCCCACTCATCACTCCTCCCGCCCCGCCTGCCCCGCAGTTTGTGGAGTTTGCCAAGACGGTGTGCGAGCGGCTGGCGGCGCTGGGGCACTGGGCGGATTACATCGACCCGTGCAGGTGGGGCGGTGTGTGCATGTGTGTGTGTGTGTGGTACATGGTGGCCGCCTGCATGCCCTGCCCTGCCCCAGCGAGCCCCTTCCAGGCGCCCCACCCGCCATGCCTGCGGCCCCCCTTGCCTGCAGCGGCCTGCCCATGGTGCACCGCGCCACCAATGCGGTGTATGGCGAGGTGGAGGGGCTGGTGACGCTGCTGGGGTACCGCACACAGAACGCGGGGTGCTGCAAGGTGGGCCTGGCGGTGTGGCCGGGGGCAGCCGCAGCGGGATGCTGTTGGGCGTGTGGTTCTGCCACACCCCATTGCTCCGCTCGTAGCTTCTGCCCTCCCACGAGGGATGCACATGGGTGTGTGTCGCACGGCCTTCCTGCCTCGCCCTGCCTGCAGATCATCCTGCATCCCAAGTGGGGCAGCAACGTGTACCCAGCCAGCCTGTTTGCCAAGGCGCCGCTGGCGGCGGTGGTGGCGGCCATCGAGGAGGCGGTGGCGGCGCTGAGGGAGCGATTATGAGGGAGGGGCGGGCGGCGGGCTCTGCTGCCGCTTGCTGGAATTGTGACACTGACAAACATAATGTTGATTCATTACACCTCAGATAATCTTCGCAAGGACTACCAGGGGTCACATTGTGAGTGATGGCCTGGGAGCCGGTTGTGTTGTTGCACCTGCAAACCGGCGGGCGCCCGCCGCCGCTGTTGCCAGGTGCGCATTGCTGATGCCCGGTGGCAGTCCCGATGGTCGGACAAGCATTACCCGATTCCAGGGAAAGTTCTCTCCCCAAAGACCCCTTCATGGGGGCCCCATGCATGGGGCCGCGCGCTGAAACGAAAGCCAGCTGGCAGCGAATCGGCGTATGGACGTTAGGCGCCCCTGATCGGCCGCATGGGCAGTTTATACTTTGTTTAAGAGCCAACCGAGCCTCCTGACCTCTCTCCCAGTGCCTCCGCAAAGTTGCCGTGCCCGGCGGGAGCGTGCAAGGAATTCATAAGGCGACCCCAAGCCCCGTGGCGAGCATGAAGGCTACCCGAGTGCTGCTGCTGTGTGCGGCGGCCTGCCTGCTGCTCACCGGTGCCCGGTGAGGAGCGCTCAGGGGCCACATCGCCCGCGCCCCGCTCCTGCAAGTGCTGCGCCGCCCAGCATAATGGGCTGTAGGGACGGCAACCCAGCTCCACGCTTGGGCGAGAGCCCGCCAGTTGTGGGGCAGGCGGCGGGGAAGTGTTGGGGAAGCTGGGAGGAGCTTCTCGACAACTTCCCTGCTCTTTCCTCCTTCCTTCAGCCCCCTCCTTGGGACACACCCCCCACACCATCCACACCCGCTCACCACACCACCACCCACTCACCTCTGTTTGTGCGCTGAGACCCGCCTCGCCGCTGCTGGCTGCCTGTGTGCGCAGGGCTGAGGACGAGGGCTCCACGGAGCCATGTGCTGAGGTGGACCCAGACAGCGGCGGCTGCATCCAGCCCGACCCCCCGGTGGATGGCGGCGACGGTGGCAGCGAGCCCGGAATTCTTCCCGCCCCCGGCGGGACTGAGGGCGGCGGCGAGGGCGAGGGCGAGGACGACGTTTTCGAGGGCGGCGAGGGCGAGGACGACGGTTTCGAGGGCGGCGAGGGCGAGGTTGTCGAGGGCGAGGGCGGCGAGGGCGGCGAGGGCAGTGAGGGCGGCAGCGGCACGAGCGACTGCGACACCGATCCCACAGGCCCAGACTGCCCCCAGGTGGACGACGGCGAGGGTGGCGGTATTGGCGGCGATCCCGACTGCGTGCCCGACCCTGACACAAACGAGGTGCCCGACAAGTGCCTGATGTACATGAATGAGGAGAGCCCCGCCTGCACCAAGGGCCCCAACGGAGGTGCGGACCGGAGCGGAGCGGCAGGGGAGGGGGATAGGCTGGCTGCCCTGCCTGCCTGCCTGCCCCGGCCAGCCAGCCGGGCGCGTGCCCGGCCCAACCGGAGCGCAGGGCACATCAGCAATCTGTGCGTCCCAGCCTCAGCAGCCCCCCAACTTTCCTCCTCTGCTGCTGCAGTCGTGAAGTGCAAGGACAACGTGCGCGGTCCCACCGGCGGCGCCCGCGGCTGCAGCTGCATTGAGCTCTGGGCCCCAGTCTGTGGCGCAGATGGTGCGTGCTGGTGCCAGCAGCGGGATGGCAGCCAGGCGGCCAGCTGCGGGGCGGCGACCTTGCAAATTGTGCCTTTGCATGCACTCTGGCCAGAGCTCACTGAGCGTCGCACGGCATTTTTTGGATACCAACTCTGCCCGCGCATGACATGTGTGTGCGCTGCAGGCAAGGTGTATGCCAACGCCTGCAAGGCCCGCTGCGCCAAGGTGTCGGCCAAGTGAGCAGTGGGCGTGGTGCAGGGCTGCTGGCACTGGCATGGGCCCAAGCCTGCAGCTACCCGGCTCTCTGGCGCAGGCTCGGCGCCGCCTGCGCGGCCCTGCGAGCTGCGCTCTGAGCATGGTCCCTGAGCATCACTGCTGCCCCTTCTGTCCCGCAGGTACAAGTGCTCCACCAAGCGGCTGGGCTATGCGGCGTGCAAGAAGAGATGCGCAGCCGCGGCCAAGCCCCCCGGCTGCGTGTGCCCCATGATCTGGGCGCCCGTGTGCGGGCGGGACGGCAAGGTGTACGACAACGACTGCTTCGCCAGGTGCGCCAAGGCCAAGCCCGCCTTCCAATGCGGCATCAACATGGCCGCCTGCAAGAAGGAGTGCAAGTGCCGGTCGGCGTGCGGCACGAACAAGGCATGCGTCGCCAAGTGCAAGCCGGCGAAGCCCCGCCCCAAGCCCATCTGCATCTGCGGCAAGGTCTACGCCCCGGTGTGCGCCAAGAACGGCCGCGTGTACAACAACCCCTGCCTGGCCAAGGTGAGCCGGCACTCCTTCCTGGCAGCTCGAGGCGCTCTGCTGATTGCCTTGGCCCTTCGGTGCCGACCCACCGGCATGCTGACCCAACGCGTCAACTTACTTGAGTCTTGAACGGTCTCCCACGCTGCAGTGCGCCAAGACCTCCATCAAGTCACGCTGCGAAAGCAAGAACACGAAGCTGTGCGCCCGGAAGTGCAAGAAGGGCGGGTGGTAAGCCGCTGGGCAGGGCCTGGCCCCATCGATCGAACCTCCCTGCTCTGGGTGAGCCTGCGGCGCGGCGCGTGATGCAGCCAGCACGCAGCTCCGTCTGAACGGTACACATCCCTCGAATTGTTTGAGTCAACTATCCACTTGAGTGCTCTGTTGACAGCCTGTTTTTTTGTGGAAGATTCCTCTGTGTGCCGCCAGCCTTTTTGTGCCTCATCATATGCATGCTGTCTTTGTTGGCTCCATTTGACTGCTTGTAATAATTGATTTGTTGTACTTGGAAGCGGTCACTTGTGCAAGGCGGGATGGGAAAGGGCAAATAGCTGCGCAGGGCGGGTGCCTGCGCCGCCCGCTGTCGCCATGTCACAGCAGGTGGCGACCGCGCCTTGCCGCGTTTCTGGTCGGCCCTCCATGCTGATCGGCGGTCATAGGCCTGCCTAGTTGAGTTGCTGAGGCGTGCGTCAAACTTACGTCGGGTTGTGTGCGGCTGCTGGAAACAGAGCTGTTCGCCGGGCTTAGGCGACCATGAACAAGTGTAAACTTCTTCTTCTAGCGATGTGTGCAGCCTGCCTACTGCTGGCCGCCAGGTGAGCGAAAGCGAAAGCCGCCCTCCGCCCATCAGGCCCAGCATAGGCGTGCTGTGAGTCAGCACGCCTATGCAATGACACAGGCAGCCATTGGGCAAGCCAGCCTCACACAGGGAGGGACATGCGGCGGGGCAACATTGCGGTACCCCGCCCCCGCCGCTCTGCACCCCTCTCTCCCTCCTTCATCCCATCTCACGTGCCGCTTTGCAGAGCTCAAGATGCAGCCCATGGCAGGGACAGCGGCAGCAACAGCGAAGCCAGCAGCACAAGCACAAGCGCTGCAGCAGCGGGCAGCAGTGTTGAGGGCCGCCATAGATGCGCCTGCGCCGCGATCTGGCAGCCAGTGTGTGGCAAGGATGGTGCGCAATGGGCTGCGTGCTGTGGCTTGCTAAATGGCATACGAGTGGCAGCGGTTCATGCCCTGAAGGCGGAACCGCAGCCAGCCTGCATCAAGTGGTGCTACTGCCGGTGTGCACGCAGGCAAGCTCTACGGCAACATCTGCAAGGCCCGGTGCGCCAAGATGTCAGCCAGGTGAGTGCTAACCAGAGGCTTGCCAGCGATAGGTGCTGGATGCCTGCATGGAGAGGAGGGATGCAGAACTCCATCTCGCAGCATGTGCAGATGCCTCTCCACCTCCCAATCAGCAGCCAGTACCTATTTTGCAGCAGCTGGGCCATGTCCCCAGAGCTTGTCGCTGCCTGTGTGTGCAGGTATAAGTGCAGCAAGCGCAGTGAGGCAGCATGCGCGAGAGAGTGTAAGTGTGCAGCGTTCCTCGGCGCAAAACGGGTGGCGCTGTGCAAGAAGGCGTGCCAATGGAGGCCCCTGCACTGAGTTCACGGGATGCTTGCCTTTATGATGGTGGTGAAGAGAAACTGGCTGCTGTAACTAATTCATCATCTGTGTATGCTCGTGCGGCAGTTCTGCCGCCCGCGTGGCGCACGCTGGCAGCCAATGAACGGCGACATATCCTGGTCTGACGCCATTGAATTTGAGGGTGCAGAGCAACCCAGTTTTGACACCTCTCTTGTGCTGGGTGCGCCGGGATGGCGGCTTTCGAGGAGGTCGGGGTCAGCCCGGAGCTGATAAAGGCGGTGGAGGAGCTGGGATGGATGTGAGCAGGCAGCATACTTGCTGTGCAGGCGACATGCGAGGGAGCCTGGCCTTGTTGCCTTCTGCCTCGCGTCCCCGCGACGCCCCACCGATCGTCAGCCTGCCTCCTGCCTCCCGCTGCCGCGCCCGTAGGCTGCCCACGCCCATCCAGGCTGAGGCGGTGCCGCTCATCCTCGGCGGCGGCGACGTCATGGCGGCGGCCGAGACAGGCAGCGGCAAGACGGGCGCATTCGCGCTGCCCGTGCTGCAGATCGTTCACGAGACGCTGCGCACGAGGCAGCAGAACAGGGCGGCTGGCACCGGCAGCAATGGCAGCGGTCAAGGCGGCGGCGGCGGTAGCGACCAGCAGCCGCCGGCGTGTGTGCTCAACTCAGAGGATCGGGACCCGGTCTTCGCCATTTCGCCTGACGGCTTGCGCTGCCAGGCCCGCAGCGAGCAGGCGTGGGGCGGGTGCAGGGGCACGGTGGGGGCGTTTGGGGGAAAGGTGTACTACGAAGCAACGGTAGCAGATGAGGGGTTGTGCAGGTGAGGTTGGGAGGGGAGGAGGCCCAGCAGCCCGCCTCGCGGATGCGGTGCCGCTTGCGTAGGTCAACGCCACACCTGCGGCGGCCGTGCCAGCTGCCCGGCCGTCACTCCCCTGCCCGCCATGCTGCAGGGTGGGCTGGTCCACCCAGGCCGCCTCGCTGGACCTCGGCACAGACAAGCACGGCTTTGGGTTTGGCGGCACGGGCAAGAAGAGCCACAACCGCCAGTTTGACGCCTATGGAGAGGTGACCCGCCTGCTGCCTGCCGGCGGGTTCGGGCTGGCTGCTGCTGCCTGCCTGCTGCGCGGCCGCTGCAGGTCATCACGGGTGGGCCGATTATTGGTGATCCCACTCAGCGCCCGCCCCAGCCTCACCCCCTGCCTGCCCCACTCCCTGCCTGCCGCCTGCCGCAGCCGTACGGCCTGCACGACACCATCGGCTGCCTGCTGGACTGCCAGGGAGGCGGCCTGTCCTTCACCAAGAATGGCGTCCCTCTAGGGCCCGCCTTCCAGCTGCCGCAGGTCTGCTGCCTGGAGCACTGCTGCGGAGCAGGCCTGGGTGGCATCCATGCTTGGGTGGCAGGGCACGCACTGGGGCAGGCAGCTGTGGCGGCGTCCTGCCCGCTGTGGCCAGCCCAGTCGATCATCTTCTGCCTGCCCAGCCCACTCGTCCGCCTCTCCATGTGCCGACCTGTACTGCCCCCTTCCTGTACTGCCCTGCAGTACATGCAAGGCCAGGCGCTGTACCCCGCCATCTGCCTGAAGAATGTCGAGCTGGCGGTTAACTTTGGGGCGCAGCCCTTCAAGCACCCGCCGCCGCCGGGCTTTGTGGGCTTGGCGCAGGCGCCGCGCTCTGCCACCGCCAGCTGGCAGGACGCTCCCGCGGCGGGCGACGGCAGCCGCAAGCCTCTGGCCGTCATCCTGGAGCCTGCCAGGTGGGCGGGGAAGCGGGCACAGGCGCGGCTGCGCCTCGCATCGCCTGCCTCTCCTCTGCTGTTCCTCCACCACTCATGCACTGCGCTGGGCGCGACACCCCTTTGCCCGCTGCCCCGCCACCCGCGGCCACCACAACCCGCTGCTCCTTGCATCCCTGCCCCACGCAACCCCACTACACACACTGCTCACGCGTGCAGGGACCTGGCGGAGCAGACCCACACCAACATCTCTCTGTTCCGCAAGCACCTGGCCGCCCCCTCTGTCCGCAACGAGCTGATGGTGGGGGGCACAAACCCCGCCGCACAGCTGCGCAGCCTGAAGGAAGGGGTGGACATCGTGGTGGGGACCCCGGGTGCGGCGGGGGGGGGGCGGAGCAGGCTGGTCGTATGGTTGAGGCCGGCCTGAGCGCCTGCTGCGGTGCTGCGGGGGATGGACGCTGCCGGATGGGATTGCTGAGTCCCGCCCACGGCGTCACGCATGGGGCTTCTGGTTCGTACTGGATGCCAGGATTTGGACATGCATTGGCCAGGTGGCATGCATGGCCCGCATGGCCCCATCCATCACCGCCTGTACCGCCACCGGTACCGCCTGCAGGGCGTGTGATGGACTTCATTGAGAGCGGCAAGCTGAGTGTGGACCAGGTCAAGCTGTTTGTGCTGGATGAGGCGGGTGAGGAGGGAGGGAGGGCGCTGGGTGGCAGTCGGGTGGCGGGGTGGTGGCGGCGGCGGTGGTTTTGAGGTGAATTGATCCTGTGTGCTGGCCACGCCAGCGGCCGGGAGCGGGCGGGTGGGCCACAGCCACGCGCCACTGCTGTGACTGCCCTATGGCAGGTCTCCGACACCCTGCTTGCCTGCCTGCCTGCCTCCCTGCCTGCTTGCGCCCCTCCCGCAGACCGCCTGCTGGACACAGGCAACCAAGACCTCATCCTCAAGATGTTCCGCCGCTTCCCAAAGGCGGGCGCGGGGGTGGCGCGCCTGCAGGTGCGGCGTCCCGCCGCGGCGCCGGCGGCTGCTGTGGTCATGGCAGGCTGGCGCGCGTGTGCTGGTCCGCTGTTGCCGCCATAGGTGGCGCTCCACACCAACGCTCACCTCCCGCACCCTGCCCAGCCCAATCGCCACCGCCCCTGCCTCGCCCCTCCCTCAGGTGCTGCTGTTCTCCGCCACCCTTCACTCCCCCGAGGTCCGCGCCCTGGCTGCCACCATCTGCCAGAACCCCATCGTGATCGACCTCAAGGGAAAGGATGCGGTGCCAGAGACGGGTGGGTGGGTGGGGCGGCGCGCGCGGCGCGGGATGGCGGGCTCGGGAGGTTGCGGGAGCAGGGCGGCCAGGGGCGTCCGAGTGGGTGTGCTTGCCGGGGCTGGCCTGATGCTCCCTGGAGTCGCCTTCAGAGCCGCCGAGCGGCCTGCTGCACCCCTCCCTCTTTCCCTCGCCGCGCCACCGGCGCCCGCGCCCGCCGACTTGCCACAAGCTGCCTCTCCCTGGCCCGGCTGCAGTGGATCATGTGCTGGTGCCCTGCGACCCCCGGGAGGACCGCTCCTGGCTGCAGTCCAGCCCCGCCGTGTACACAGACGGCTGCCACGTGTTGGACATGACGGGTGTGCGCGAAGTGGGGGGCGTGACAGCGGGGGTGGGGGGGCCGCTGCTGGCTTGCCCTGGTATGCCTACCTGCGGGTCCGTGGTTGGCTGGACTCGCCCACCCTGCGGGGCCCTACATCCCCCTCCCAGACCCCCAGCATGAGTGCCACCACGCTGCCCCCACCTGCCCTCTCTCCTGCCCCGCAGGCCCCAACCTGGACACCCGGGAGAACTGGAGCGAGGCGGTGAAGCGACTGAAGCAGCGATACCTGCAGGTGGGGCCTGGAGGGGGGTGGGGTGCGGCCGGGGCCTGGCGTGGGGTGCATGCTTTGACCCTGGGCGGCGCTGCGATACAAGCACACCCGTCTCCTGACGCGTGGCATGCGGCCCCTGCCTGCCTGCCCCCTCCCCTCCGGCCTCCTCTCCCGCGCAGCGCGTGATAGATGCCTTTGCCATGGACCAGTGCCTCATCTTCTGCCGCACCAACCACGACTGCGACAACTTGGAGAAGTTCCTCAACGGCCTGGGTGGGTGCGGTGTGTGTGTGTGTGTGTGTGTGTGTGTGTGGTCCGAGCTGGGTGCAGTGGGGACCACGACGGCGAGGCGCTGGGCTGCCAGCTCTGGCGCTGTGGCTCGCGACAGCTGCCCGCGCCTGCTCCCCGCCGGCGCAGGCGGCGGCGGCCCCGCCTTCCGCGGCAAGCGCGAGAGCGGCAAGGAGAGCCCCTACTCGTGTGTGGTGCTGGCGGGGGCGCGGTCCATGGATGAGCGGCGAGCCGCGCTGCAGGTGGGGGCGGCGGTGGCGGGTTTGGGGTGTGGTTGGGGAAGGAAGGGGTTGGGAGGCCGGGCCGGCCGGCAAGCTGCTGGTCGTGCCGGTTGTTTTCATCGTCTGGCAGCGCTTCTGGCCTGCGGGGTGAGGGCTGTGCTGGCAGCTTGGCCTGCCAGCACAGCCGCCTGGCTGCTCTGGGTGCCTGGCTGCCCCACCGCCCCACCTGCCTCCATGCCGCCCCGCCACCCCCAGGCCTTCAAGGATGGAGACGTGCGCTTCCTCACCTGTACAGACGTGGCGGCACGCGGCATCGACATACAGGTCCGCCCCACACACACCCTCCCCTCCCAGTATGCATCGGGGCGTGGCGGCCTTGCCTCCCGGCGGGAGAGGTGTCCGCCCGGCTGTGGCGCCCGCCGCACAGCACCGGCGGGCCCTCGATGTGCACACATGCGCGCGCCTACCTGCCTGCCTGCCATCCGCAGGGCCTGCCGTACGTCATCAACATGACGCTGCCAGACAGATCAGAGGACTACATCCACCGGTGAGTGGCTGGCTGGGCAGGGTTGGAGCGGGCGCAGTGCCCCTGCCCCCTGCCGAATGCATGCTGGCTGCCTCGCCCGCACCTGCACCCGCGCCTGCGCCGATGCTGCCTCCCCGCCCGCCCTGCAGCGTGGGGCGCGTGGGGCGGCACGACACGATGGGGCTCGCCATCTCCCTGGTGGCAACCGTGCCTGAGAAGGTGGGGGTGGCTGCTGTGCCAGCTCGCGCCCCTGCCCTGCCTGCACGCCTGCACCACCCCAGCCGGCGCTCCTTTCCCCGGCGCTCGCATGCGGGCACCCCCGCCAGCCGCCTCTCTGCCTGGCCCGCGGCCGTCACGCCGCAGCCTCAGCCATCGCTGACCTGCCTGCCACGGCGGGACTGTCCTCCACCACCTGCGGCCTACACCCGGTACTGCAGGTGTGGTACTGCTCCATCAAGGGCTACAAGCCCTGGCTGCAGCCCGACACCAAAAACACCCAGACCAACGACCGCGGCGGGCAGACCATCTGGTATGAGGAGCAGCAGCTGCTGCAGGTGAGGCGCAGGCAGAGATGCAGGGGCAGCTGTGTGGGTGTGTGGTGGGGGTGCAGGCACGCCACAGAGCAGGCAGGGCGGGCGAGGCATGTTCTGGGGGTGCCACCAGCAGCTGCCGGGCTGCTGGCACGCATGCACGGGGCGCAGCGGTGGCGGCAGCAGCTTGCAGCAGGGCGCCTGCCTGGCGCTTGGGAGGGGGCTGCTGTCTGCTCGCTCACCCCTGCCTAACCTCCGCCTGGGCCCTGCAGGACATTGAGAAGCGCCTCAGCCGGCCCATCGCAGCGCTGGGGCCCGACCTGAGCCTGCCAGCCGACATTGCGGCGCGGGTCGCGGGCGGCGGCGGCGGCGGCGGCAGCGGCGGCGGCCAGGGAGCCACGCAGTACGGCCAGCAGCGCGGCGGCGGCGTGAGCAAGGAAGTCATGGAGCGGGTTCAGGTGCGGCAGGACGCGGCTGCCGCGACGCTGGCTGTACCTGGCGTTGCTGCTTGTGGCCGGGCCTTGCAAGGATCAGGGGGGCAGGGTCAGGGTTCGGGCTGGTGGGTGCCAACAGCTGCCTCGCTCAGCACCACCGCTGCCATGCGCTTGCAGGCGGTGCGGCCAGCGGTGCAGGAGCTGGCGCGGCTGGAGTTCCAGGCCCAGGCCTCCTTCTTCCAGCTCAAGCGCAAGTGGGCTGCGGCAGCATGACCAGCTGCCTGTGCGGGCGACATTTGATGGCTGTCAAAACCGGCGCTATGCCTTACTGTATGGTATAAGATCGGATCAACAGAGTGTGTTGAGCTTAGGCACCAGCAAAAGATGGCAATGAGACAGTCGTCGCCGCCGGAGACGAGCTGCCGCAGCCGCAGGCTCCCCGGTCCCAGCAGCATGCTGTCGCGCTTGGGCACACTGTATGCCACGCTGGGGAAGACCCGGCCAAACACCGAGAGGCCAAGGGTGGAGATCTTGGCATACATTTCCTTCACACGGGCCAGCAGCCCAGTCCAGGCGGCAGCCACAACGTCAGCGCAAGCCCAGCGCAGTGGCGGAGCATCAGTGGAGGCGGCAGCGGGCTGACTGACTGACTGAGATTACAGAGAACCGGTCCCTGTAAACTCCGATCTGGGCACAGTGAGCGAGCGGCAGGGAAAGCGGAGGGTGCCTGGGAGCCAGCCTAGTGACTGGCCGAGAGTTGTGGGGAGGGGCAACGGGGGGCAAGACAGGGAAAAGTGGGGCAGCGACTGACTGACTGACTGAGATTACAGAGAACCGTGCCCTTTAAAGGGCTGGGGACACACAAGCCGTGCCCACTAGCTCTGGACAATATAAGCATGAAACCAACCAACAGACAGGGCGGCGGAGCGCGGGGCTGCGAGGAGCCGATCGGGCACAGCGGGCGGCAGGGAAAGCGGAGGGTGCCTGGGAGCCAGCCCAGTGACTGTCAGAGAGGTGTGAGGAGGGGAAACGGGGGGCAAAATACAGGGGAGAGAGGGGGATCAAGGGCCAGGACCGCCAGCAGGCGGTGCAAGCGGCTCCGAGACGCCACCCACCCCGGCACAGAAGCTGGGGGAGCGGCCAGGCGGGCGGGCGGGGACCGCCTCAGAGGGCAGGCGACACAGGGGGTCAAGGCTCAGGTCAGATCAGGTCGCCGCCGGCAAGCGCGAGGAAAAGGCCGTTTTCAGTATATATTTGACCCCAATAATGGTAATGCCCGGCGTTACCACAGATGAGATCGTAATCGATACCCAAAAGAAATATTGAAGAGAATCACGTGACACTGTTTTTTTCAACAATGCTAAATTAGGATTAGGATTAGGACATGCTCACCGCCCTGACTTGACTTGCTCGCCCTGACTTGACTTGGAACTGCTGCTTCTGCCTCCTCGGTTACCGCCCTGCCTCTGCCGTTGGCATTCACTTTTGTAAAACCTCTTCTACGCCACATTGGGATTGCAATCTCTGCAGAGCCGCCAGTCCTCAGCCCTCGGCACAGATGTGTTAAGTACAGACGATGCATCGCGCTGGAGCCTCTGGCGCTGAGCGGGGGCCTGCACCTTGGATGGGATCCAAACCCACCTCTGCCAGCCGCTGAGCTTTGCCGTTTGGCTGGACAATGGCCAGCATCTGTTCCTGCTGGCATCTGGCCTCATTGATGGCCCAGCCACGTGGCTGCAAGCAGATGGCGCTGCAGGAAGGGTGCTGACATCCCCCGCCATCGGCGGCACTCCGCCACAGCCTCAGCTTGAGCGCGCCTGCCATGTGCGTCACCCACCATCCAAGCTGGGGTTACAAGCAGGGGCAGCGCCAGGCATGCAAACGGGGGGTGCCAGGGCCTGGGCCGGGGTCACTAGCGGCTGTCAGCCCGCCTGTCCACGCTCTGCAGGCTGTGCAGCGAGTCGTTGCGTCGCACCACCGCCTGCTGCGTCAGCGGAGGCCGCCCCCACCGCCGTACGCAGCTGCCGTGGCAGGCGGTGAAGAGGGCCGAGGGGGTGAACAGCACCGAGCAGGCGGGCTCCGGATGCACCCTGCACCGCCAGCGGCAGCGGCGGCAGCAGGCAGCAGACGGCTCAGGGCGAGGCGAGTAGCAGGAGGCAGCGAAACATGCCCGACCCCCACACCCACACCTGACAGCCTGCCCACCCATCGTGCAGCATGCAGTGCAGCTGCGGCAGCCGGGCTGGGCTCACCTGGCTTGCGCCGCCGGCGTGACCAGCGGCCAGTCGGCGCGCGGGAGCGGCGGCGCGATGAGGCCGGTGGGCAGCGCCGCCGGCAGCGCCCCGGGGTCGCCCCCGCCGGGGATGCCGCTGCGCTGGCGGAAGCTGGCTGCCAGGCCGCCTCGCTTCATGGGGCTGGAGCTGCGGCTGCCGCCGCGCCGCTTTCCAGGCGAGGGCGGCAGGCCGGGGCGCTCTCGATCGAGGGAGCTGCTGCAGCAGTGTGTGTGGGGGGGTGGGGGGGTGGGGGTGGGGTGGAGCAGGATCACACGACAGCGGTGCCGAAGCGGTGGCGCAAGCCGAGGCCCAGGGGCGCAGCAGCCCTTGGCCCAGCCAGCCTGCACCCGCCGCCAAACAGGTGCCCCCAGCAAGCCATAAGCGGGAGCACCGCAGCAGCAGCCGTCGACTCACTTGGCGCTGTTGGCCTGCTGCGCCGCCGCCACCGCCTCCTCGCTCACCACTACGTCCCACAGCGCCAGCTGGCAGTCGTGCCCCGCCGAGGCCAGGCGGTACACACGGTCGCCGCCGCCGGCCCCAGGCCCCAGCGCCAGGCTGGCCCCAGCCTCCTGCTGCTGCTGCTCCTGCTGCTGCTGCTGCTGCTGCTGCTGACCCTCGCCATCTTGCGGCTGCGGGTCCCTATCCTCTGTGTGGCACATCCTGCATGCGGGTGGGCCCGCAGCAGGTGAGCGGCCGGTGCCGGCAAGCAGCGGCAGGGTCCGTGCCAGGGCTTGGCTGCCATCCCGCAGCTCACCCCACCCCAAGAGGGGCGTCAGCCCGGTGCCCGCCTGACACGCTCGCCTCCTGCGCTGCCTCCCTCCCTTCTCCACCCCACTCACCAGGGGTCAAACGAGATGCTGCTGACCCAGGAGCTGTGGCCCTGGCAGCAGGCCACCACGCACCGCTCTGCGGCGGGAAGCAGCATGGAGCTGGGATGACAGGCGCACCAAGAAGCAAGCACAGGCTCACACACACCCAGCAGCAGCAGGGCCGGCAGCGCAGAGCAGCCCGCACGGCGCGGCTTGGGCCCGGGAACACGCTGCAGCCGCGCTGCTGCCGGCCGGCTCGCCGAGCAGCCGCGCCCATCGCCACCACAACACACGCACACACACAAAGCACAAACATAAGAACACACACACCAGCCGGCGAGCCAGCCGGCCGGGCGGGTCAGCCCACCTGCCAGGCCGTAGACAGCCAGCAGGTCGTCCTCGCCCCCTGCGGCCACGTACCGCCCGTCGGGGCTCCAGCAGCAGCACAGCATGCCGCCGTAGTAGCTCTGCGGGCGGGCAGGCGAGGGGCAGGCAGCGTAGCAGGGCAGCCGGCGGCAGCACGGTAAGCGGGGCTGCTTGCGATGCAGCGCACGCACACACACTGCACAGCGCAGCGTGCCCTGCACAGCGCCGGGAAGCGCTCTGCCCGCACCCCAGCCAGCCCACCCACCTTGAAGCCTCCCACTAGCCCGCCGCCCGGCTGGGAGTACACGCGCAGCACGCCGTCCCTGCACGCCACCGCCACGTGGTGCCCATCGGGCGACACCGCCGCCGCTGCCGCGCCGCCGCCGCCGCCGGGGCCCTGCAGCTGCGTGACGGGGGGCCGCAGCGCGTGGCTGCTGCTGGTGCGCGCCAGCAGCTTCGTGTCGCTGCTGCTGCCCACAACCTGCGACAGGAGCAGCGGGAGGGGTGTGGGGACGGGCCACAAGTGCTGGCTCGCCGCCCTGCGCACCGACAAGCGGGCGCCACCCAGCCTGCCATGGAGTTGACGGCCCGCCGGCATGCCGAGCCTGCTGCGCCTCGCCTTGTGGTACAGCAGTACCGCTCCGTCCCGGTGCGCCGCCACAAACGCGGTGCCCTCGCTGCCGGGCACCCAGGCCAGCGACATGCAGCGGGTGGCTGAGCCGGCAGAGCCATCCACGTTGAGGCACATGGAGGGCGAGGGGCGGGTGTTGGAGGCGGGCGCCTTGAGCTGCGCCCGCAGCGACAGCAGCACCACTGCGAGCAGAGCAGGGGGTGGGGCAGCGGCGAGGCCGGTTGGGAGGGAAGCCTGGCTGGCAGCCATCCGTCCCTGCCCCGCGCATGACCACCGCCTGCCTGCGCAGATCTGCCGACTGATGTTCTGTCACAGGCCCGCCCAGCAGCAGCAGCGCTGCCCTCCCCTCCTCACCCTCTCCAGTAGACAGCCCCACCGCCAGATCAAACTCATCCTTGGCGGCCGAGGTGTGGGCGTGGCAGGTGGGGTAGGCCAGCCCGCCGCTGCCGCCCGCCTGGCGCAGGTCGATGACGCGCAGCGGCTCCTGCGGGGTGCAGCGGGGGAGTACAGGTTGCATTCTGGGCCAGGGTGCCTTTACAGCAATTGGCGGCAGGCAGGAGGCGGCGGCAACCCTGCTACCATCCCCGCAGCGATCGCGTCACCCGCCTCACCCGATCGAGCGTCTGGGGGTAGCAGACGTAGAGGAAGTGCTGGATATTGAAGATGAGGAACTCTAGAGGGGGGCTCCCCTCCTCATTGGGCACCTCCGCATAGGTCAGCTGCACCGTGAGGTCCGGCGAGAAGTTGGTGGATGGCCGGCGCTCGTTGGTGGCCGTCCACTTGCCCTCTGGGGCTCGCAGCGAGGACTTGAGGGCGTGAGACATCGCCGGGCCGCCGGAAACATGTGATCCCAGTCTGATATGCTCGCAGCTGTGATGGGAGGCTCTTTGGGAGGCTTCTCCAGGAGGCCACGTAGGCACAGGCCAAAGAGGGTATGCGCACCTGAGCCCCTCTGGACATTGCCATCAATCTCTGAAGATCCCCGTCCAGCGCCTGCTGCGCCCTCCACGACCTCCTGCCGCCTCTGTATCCTTCCATCTCACTTGTCCAGAGCTCTGCTGCTCAGGATGCCCATCCAACTCAAGGTGAGACCCTCCAGCAATCCATCTGCCATGGTTCAGCGCGGTGCAGCAAGCCAGGGGGTGGGCGCCCTACCGCCCGCTGCGAGCCCGCTCCCGCCACTGGTGCGTTATCGCTCGTATGCAATGCTGTTGCCGCACTTGTTGCTTTAGCCGTTAATCTCCTCATCCCCTTCCCCTCAGGTGTCGGGCGACCCTCGCCGCCCCGCCGAGATACGAAAGTACCAGCGGCCCAAGGTGGGCGCTGCGCGGGCTGTGCGGGCCTCTGGCTAGGTTGCATCAAAACAGCGTCGGGCACCTTTGATCCTCGTCCTTGGTTTTGAGCCCTGGCCTCTGCAGGTCAACCTGGATGAGCAGCCGCCCGACATGTTTCTGCTAATGGCGCTGGCGCTTGGCCTCGTGTCGCTGGTGTTCAAGGTGAGCTGCCCAGGGCATGAGGAATTGCCTGAATCGGCGTCGGGATTGCCTGCGGCGCTCCCACGCCCTCTGCCGCTCATCACCACCCGCCGTGCAGGCCAAGATGCCGGCCTGGGGCTCGCTGCTGCTGTGCCTGTGCGCTGTGGCCAACGGCAAGGCGGGACACTCCGACTTCAAGCAGTACGTGTCCAGCCTCACCTTCTCCATCTTCGGCCTCGTCTCATCCTACATCGTGCCCATGCGCCAGCGGCTGGCGGCAGCAGGTGGCAGCGACGGCGGCGCCTCATAGCATCGCAGCGGCGCGCGGGCAGCGCGACTGCCGCCTGCACCCCTGCGTTGCTGCGGCCCCTTCCTGCTGCGGCTGCATCTTTTCAACTTGCGATGCATTGGTTAATTCAACAGCAGGAAAGCACCATCAATGGGATCCGGTGCAGCTGGCCCAACCCTAACTGCGTGCTGAGCTGCTTCTCCTGCGCACGACGGCACATCACGCTTCCTGGGCCAGCGGCACCAGCAGCATGGACGTCTTGGTCATCGCCTTGCCCAGCTCCTACACGCCGGAACAAGGATACTGACAGGGGCGCGTGAGCGATACACGCAGGGGCAGGAGCATCCCCAGCCGCAGGCGTACGTATGCCTGCCACGCCTAGCCATGCAGGGAGGCTGTGCACTCAGCTACCAGCGCCAGCGGCACCACTCGCCTCCATAAGGCCCTCCTGCTGATCCCACGTCAGCACCTCCCCCAGCCGGTTGGTGTCGCCCACTAACGCCTCCAGAGGCTTGGCACCTGGGCCCAGCCGCGCATCCAGGCCTGGGTAGCTCCTGTGGCGGGCGGGGTGGATGAGATTAGGAGGGGCAGCAGAAGAGCAGGCACGGCACCAGGGCCACCATGCACCAGCATGCGGGCGACATGCAGGCGGCTGCCACGTGCAGCGCATGGCGGCGGCGGCTCACTGGTGGAAGGCCAGGGCGCCGGCGCTGGCCAGGTCCAGCTTCTGGGCGGCTGCCGCCGCGATGCGGCCGCCGCTGGTGTGGTGCATGAGGCGCAGGATGTAAGCGTTGGCCAGCAGGCGCAGCACCACCTGTGTGGGAGCATCACAAGCAGCGCAGCTCAGGCGTTAGGTGAGGGGCAGCACATACATCATATGGACTCCCCGTGCTGCCTGGGCTGCACACCAGTTGGCAGCCAGATGGCGCTGCCCCCTTCCCACCTGCTCCAGCTCGTCTGGCCCCTCGGACGCCCTGCACGCCCGCGCCAGGCTGGCAAGGTAAGCCGCATACGCCGCCGCATGCTGCATCGCCGGCGGCGGCGAATACTCGCCCTGCGCTGCACCGCCGCCGCCGCCTCTGCTTGCCTCCTGCTGCTGCTGCCGCGCTGCTAGCCGCCTCAGGTCCTGCAACAGCGGCGCTGCACGGTCCAGCCCCCGGGCCGCCCCAAACAGGCCCAGCGCCTGCAGCAGCTGCTCGCGGCGCTGCTGCGGGAGCCCCGCCAGCGACGATGCCGACACCTGCGCTGCTGCCCCGGCGATGCTGCTCTCCAGCGCGGCGTGCACGGCATGCATGTCTGCTAGGTACTGCACAGCAGACGGCGGGCGGATCGCGGCATGGGCTGTGGTGTGGTGTAGCTGGGGGGGCCAGGAGGGCCACTTGGGAGCAAGTGCATGCCCACAGTGCAGTGCAGCCAAGCGACGCATGCTGCCCGCCCACCTGCACATAGTGCTCCAGCGCAAATGCCCACCGCTGGAAGTCTGGCAGCGGCTTGCTGCCCTGCGGCTGCAGGCAGGCGCCAGGGCAACAGCCAGCAGAGTTAGGAAAGGGCGACAGGAACCAGCAGTATAGCACGTTCTTGGCGCCATTTCTAGTCTTCAGCAGGCACCGTCAGCCCATTCCTGGTGGCTGCTGGCCCCACCTGTGCCACTCCCAGCGCCCCCTGCGTCTGCAGCAGCTCCAGGCGGCGCGCCAGCGACTCGTAAAAGGGCTGGGGCGGCGCCTCCCCGCTGCCGCTGCCGCCGCCCGCCTCAAACACCTTGGAGCCATCCTCCACCTGCAGGCTGCCCAGGTCCTCCGGCTGGCCGCTGCCCCAGTCCTTGACCTGCAGCGCAGCCGCCGGCGTGAGGGGTCAAGCAGCAGAGGGACTTGGACTGGAGCCGGGTGCGGGCTGGCGGGACTGGTCTGCACACTCGCGGAGTGGTTGAGCGGCCCTTGCCGTGCTCATCGAGCTGCACGCCGCGATGCCCAGCCCAGCCAGCCCTGGCACAAGTGTGCGTGCCATGCACCGTGCCGCAAGTCAACCCACCTTGACGTACTCCACTTTCCCGCGGGCCGCCTCACGAGGGTCGATGGGGCGGGCCGACGGCGGGCCCCGCCCCTTGCCCTCCTGCTGCTCCACCAGGCGCACGGCGCGCTGCACCGCCTGCACCAAGGCCCACACACCAACGGGCGGTGTTCACAGGCTTGGTGGAGAGACGTCTGCATAGCACCCGGCATCTGCCATGTCCCACCTTGCTGTCTCCCGACTTTATGCCCGCATCCTTCCTCCGCTTCCCTCCCTTGGTGGCCGTCGATCGCTTGCCGCTGCTCTCCCCAAATCCTTGACCCGCCTGTGAGCACTGGACTGCTTGGCGGAGCAGCATGGCTCTGTGCAGGCAACAGAACGGGGTGGGATGGTATGGATGAATGCTGCAATATCGGGCAAGGCTTTTGGCTGCCTGCCAACGGTGTCATCTTGATGGCGCTGAACTGGAGGGCGGCGCTGGCGGCGGGTCACCGCATTATGTTTGGAGGAGCATGCATCTCCAAACATCCTGCGGAATGAAGTTCAATGCGACATGGTCTTGCCCCTCATGGGCGTTGTTTATGAACCACGAGCGCCGCCCTGCTGGACCGGCGGCGTCGGTGCCTGCCATGTGCAACGGCTGGCGCTTGACATGGGTCAACCCATTGTGTGATTGAGGTTCATAAAGCTGCAAAGTAGTTTGATTTAGACTTTGCGCTCCCTTTGCCCGGAGCCCGCGCCTTCACTTGCTGGCGGACCTGCGTTGTGGCCCACCCACTCGACGGCACTGTTCCCCCCTGCCTCTGCGCACTGCCTGCTGACCACAAAGCTGCACAGCCAAGCTGCCACCGCGGCTACATCTCCCACATGCTCTCCCCGCGGCTCCCGCTTCTCCCCCTCCTCTTGCTGGCTTGCAGCTTCCGCTGCATCACAGCGCAGGTGAGGCGGGTCGCCTGGGTTGGGCCGGCACAGCTAGCTGCCGCCACGGCTGCCACCGCCAGCTGCCGCTGCCGCCCCGCTCCCACGTCTGCAACACTTCAAGGCTCTTTTTCTTCTAATTCTTTAATTCTAAGCCAGACACGGCCCTCCCATAACCTGCAGGCTGGCAGCAATGAGCCACCGCGGCTGATTGTGCAACTCAGCGGCGGCGGCGCCGCCGCCTCGGCGGCAGGGGGCGGCGACGACGCGGTCGGCATCGCCAGCGCGGCGCCCGGCATCAGCAACGTGAAGCTGCTGTCCCCCAGCCTCAACATGGTCACGGTGCAGGTGGCGAGCGGCAGCGTGGCACAGACGCTGGCGAGCCTCCAGCGCCGGCCGGGTCAGTGTGGCAGCTGCGCCGCCGCTGCCGCGCTGGTACAGGCCACGGGCTGCTGCAGCACACCTGCTCCGCCTTGCGGCTGCCGCTGGCCCACCACCTGCACAGCCCCTACCCGGGTGCATGGGACCCTCACAAGCGGGCCGCCCCCATGCAGCTTGCGGTCCGCCTCCCTCCCTGCCCACCCTCCCTCCTCCCTCCTTCCTCCCCTCCCCCGCTGCAGACGTGGTGTTTGCCGAGGTGGACCACCCGGTGTACCTCGGCAACCGCGTGCACTACGTGTACATCAGGCGCCAGCCCGGTCCCAGCCCGCGGCCGCGCCCGCTGCCGCCGCGCCCGCCGCCCCCCGCCCCATC